CACAAAACCCTCCCCCCTCTTTTCCCCCCACAAACACCTGATAAGGGTGTTTGGGCAAAAAAGAGGTTATTACCCCAAACCCCCCCCACCGGGTAAACCCCTCTCTCTCAGCCCAACTCACCTTACAGAGTTGTTGTGGGGAAAACAGGAGGAAGAAGTTTTAGGTATGTTTGCTTCCTTGAGTTATTTATAAAAAAAATAATAAAGGGAACATAAAAAATATCTAAAAAAATATTTCAAATCCATCTGAACCCTCAGTCTCTTTATAACTTTCTAAAAACAACACTCTAATCACCCTTTTGTTGTTTATTCCTCCCCCGGAATTTTTTTCTAAGTCCTTAAACTTGTACTTAACACTTCCTTTGCTAAGGATTGATGAAAACTCACCCAGTGAATGCCATAAAGCTTGCTGTTCCAAAGGTTCTTAATATTTGAAAAGCTGTAAAAAAAGTAATTCCAAAAGTGATTAAGAAATGAGGCTCAGCTGGTGGATTTCCAGTGAGGACATGGTGAGCTGAACATCCTCGAAGGAGCAAAGTCAGTGTTGCGGCAGAGATCAGCAACCAGAAGGTGAATTCTGGCCGCTTTTAATCTCTCCGGAAAAAGGAGAGATTGTGAGATTGCACTCTGGACAGCTGCTCATTGTAAGTAGACTACAGGAACCAAGGTTTATGCAGTTGGCTTGTGAGTGGAGTGGCTGGGAGTTCCACCAAGCTCGCAGCCATTAACATAGCTTATATGGACAAAAAGCTAATCTCTTAATCGCTTTTGGAATTGCTTTTTAGATGCTTTTCAACTATTAAGAACCTTCGGATTGGCAAGTTTTACAATATTCACTGGGTGAGTCTCCTTCAATCCTGGGAGAAGGAAATTTTAAGTGCAAGATTAAGGACTTAAAAAAAAAATGGGGGAGAGAATAAACAGCAAAAGGGTGATTAGAATCTTGATTTCAGAAAGTTATAAATGGATTAAGGGTCCAGAGGGATTTGAAATAATGTTGAAATTAATTATAAGAAATCTTCCCATGGGAAACTGCTGCTGTTTAGAAGAAAAAACACGATAAGATGGGATTTTGAAGGTTGGACACTAGAGGGAACCAGAAAGAACTAAAGATTGTATTTAAAGGAGAAGAACACTTAATTTCAACTTACTGATATAGAATGGAGCAAAATAACTTTGGATGAATTTAAGGATATTTGGGAATAATGGACTCAGAAGTTAATCTTAAGATTGTCTGCTATCATAGATAAACTGGAATTAAAAGAGGTTATAGAAGAGGAACACGTTTTACTGGACAAGACTGGGACTGAGGCTGACTCAAATGTGGATTTAAACATGATAAGTTATAAGAATGATATGAAAAAAAAGTTACACTGGATAGAGAAATGAAACCAGCTGATGTCTTAATGATTAAAAGGGCTATACAAATAACAAACCAGAAGAGTGACTTGGATAATTTTCTTATTTTGGATTTACAAAAGAGAGAGAAATGAAACCAGCTGATGTCTTAATGATTAAAAGGGCTATACAAATAACAAACCAGAAGAGTGACTTGGATAATTTTCTTATTTTGGATTTACAAAAGAGATTTTTTAAACTTTTGAATTATTTTGTGAGAAGAGACAAAGAGAAAATGATAAGAAATCAGCTTCTGGGACATTAATTAAAGGGATTAAAGATCAAGATCATTAAAATTAAAGGGAAGGAATATAAAGTTGGGTTATTTGATCAAGGTTTGTATGTATGTATGTATGTATATGTATATATTTGTTGTTGTTGTTGTTGTTTCTGGTTACCCTTAATGGGTTTTTGCTGACCAGGACCGAATGACAAGGCTTTAAAGATTAGGAAAAATAGTTTTTTGTTGTATTTTTAGAGAAAGTGATAAGTTACTGTGTTAAAGTAAAGGGAAATAATATAATATTTGATACTTAATACTCAATTAAGCTTAAAATATATGTGTTGTTTTCTGGTAACCTTAATGGACTTTTACTGACTAGGATTTATTTATAGATAAAAGATGAGATATGGGAAGAAGAAATCTTTTGTTTTTTGTTGTAGAAGGTGATGAGTTACTGAAATTGTTTGTACTTGTAACGAAGGGGGAAGTCATTTCTTTATATATTTCTTTTCTTTATTATATCCTTATTTTTTCCTTCTTCTATTTTTCTTTATATTTTCTTTTCTGCACTTTCTATCCCCCTTTTTTATTCTTTTATACTTTTTTAGTTTGTATTAGTCTTTCATCTTTGTAACTGTAAACTTTAATAAAATTATTATTAAAACAAAAACAAATGAGGTTTGGCCGAGCTTTATGTCCATATAGGCTGCATTATGACTGTGAAAGTAGTTGGAATCCCTCAACTCCCAGTTGCTCGACTCCCCAGCCAACCACAAAAGCCTCAGTTCCAGCAGTCTACTCCTGAGGAGTATCTATCTGGAGTACTTGTGGGTGGACTCACGATCTCTCCTTTCTCCAGAGAGATTTTGCTGGCTAGGATCCACCCTCCAGGAGCCAATCTTGCCTTCAGGGAAATCTAGCTCACCATGTCCTCACCAGAAGTCTCTGGGGGTTTCTGCTTTTTAAAGAGAGCTGAGAAACAAGGAACTAAGTGTAAAAATACATTACAGGTATATATGTTATGCCACTGTTTCTTTCAGTTTTGTGAACAGGCCCTTAAAAGTGAGGCTGAAATTAATAAAATCTACCTTTCTTTAGCAAAACACTAAAAAATAAGTTTGCTGGATTCAGACTAGACAAGTTTATGTACACATATAATAATTTTTCAGAAAGAAGATCAAGTTCTGATCTGAAACCCAGGCAACAATTTTGACATGATGGGAGAGGAATCACTGTTACAGTGATGAGGTGCAATATGGTTTACTGGTTTCATTTTGCTAAACATCGTGCATCTTGAAGATTAAAAATCAGATGGCAGAATTCTACATTTGATGCAGTTTTAATATACTTTGCATTCTTAATCCTTTATATAGGACTTTATCCAACTGGACATACGAATTTGACAAATGGGCCCCTTCTGTTGTGAAAATTTCTTACAAGGTTTGAATATTTTATATATAAATATAAAGATGGATACATACAACTCCACGTTCACTGAGCAGTTATATTCAGTTGTTAAGTGTTGCTGTGCTGTAGAAGTCTGCTGATTTGTAATATATCACAAGTACTTTCAGGTACTGAAATACATTAAAAAATTGCTAATACTCATATCCCAATATGCCCTGTTCCAAGTAATAGGGATCATAATTACAATACATTAGTATATTCCTGCCTAGTTTTTTTTTTAATGTAAATAATTTAGATACCAGATTATAGCATGGCAATTTACCATAGTGAATTAGTTCACACTGGAATACTGTAATTACAGTTGCTGTTATAAAACAGGCTGAAGAGACAGGCATGAGATTGACTGCTATCTGAGCGGTGCTTTTCCAGTTGCCATTTATCAAGGGGGTATCACTTGCTGATAGAACAACCTTTGATTCATTGGAAGGTTCTATCAGTGAAAGAAAGGAGGAAGTTAGTTTTGATAGTCTTTCTTCCTTGCACCAGACCTGTTGAATACATTTGTAAAGATCCAATCCACTATTGTTTCTTTTGGTCTTTGGCTTCCTCTCTGAATGGATTGGAAATATTAATAATATATTAGGCACATTCTTCTGCACTTTTCTATCCACCTCACAGATATCCTTCTTTTAGTGAATTATACCTAGATATAATTTTTTCTTTTCCTTTTTTAGGGTACACCTGCTATGCGCCGATCACTTGTACCTCAGCTACGTAGTGGGAAATTTAATGTACTTTTGACTACATATGAATACATAATAAAGGACAAACACATTCTTGCTAAGGTATTATTATATTTTGGACTCTTCTTGATGACAAGCTTTCTTTCCTTTGCTTCCTTCACTCCTAATTAGCAAGAATTGCACCAACCATGAAGGGTCCATAATTACGATTGTCTTTAAAAGTTAGTTCTCTGTTTTATTTTGGCTGAATTGTTTAGCCTTTCTTCCAACCCATTCATGGTCTCTGTTCCTGCTGAGTACTTTCAGGATTGCCAGTGAGGGAAAAGATTTTGCTACCCATGGATCTCATAAATTCCACACAGTTGCTCTCTGTCAAGCAGAATAGCCATCTCCACATCCTTCTGCTGAATCACATTTATCTTGGAACCCTGCTATTCCATTTTTCTCTACAGCTCTTCTCCAGTTCTTTGTTTCTGAGCTGAGATGAATACAGTGGGAGAAAAAAAAGAATCAGGTTTTGTTATCATTTTCCAGATGTGGAAAGATAATAGAGACCAGACTGAAATTTGTACTGTTCATTTTCATTTATGCATTAAGACACAGTAACTGAAAATCTCTTGAATAGATTCTAAAACATGAGAATCCTTTGGAAACCATTACTTTGGTAAAGTAAAGGTATTTAAATAACGGATTCCCCTGTGATTTATTATATACCTCTCCAATTCCATTTGCTACTTTTCAGAGCTTGAACATTTTTTAATGAGAGGTGCTTGCTATAGTAAGCTTCAAAAAATTTCAAACTATTTTTTTTTTCTTTCTGGGACCCAGTATTATAGCGAGCTAAGACTGGCACTTTGCAAAGTGGACTATATCAAAGCACCCCACAAAGTACTCTGCTCTTTGCACTTTCCCCTCTTCATTTGTTTGCATGGGAGGAAATTGAGAGGCTCCCCATCCTCTCAAATCTTTTTCAACAAGAAAGGTTTTCCCTCCCAGTTCAAGTCAATTGAATTTACTGTGGAGGAAGAAGTGGATGACAGCACAGTTGAGGGGAGGGAGTCTATTTTGCCCAGCACTATAGTAGATCCTTGTCCTGTCCACAGATTTTGTTAGAGTCAATAATTAAGGCACAAGTAAAAAAGCAGTTGCAAGCTTGAAGGATCACCAACCAATATTTCAGGAGCAGGTAAACAGTACTTGGCAGTGTCTGTCAATAAGATGTTCAGAAGATCAGGCACGCAGAGTTCCCAAACCAGGAGCTAGTCAACCAGAAATTATCAGTCATATGGCAAGATTAATGCACTGACACAAGTTACAGTGACTGTCTCCTTCCTCTGTTCCATTGCTTAAAGCTCCATGATGCAATCTCCCATTCACTCATGGCATCTGGCCCCAACCAAGTTGGTTCATATAACCACCACAATTTGCTTCCAGTTCCACTTTCCAAATATGATTGACAAAATATATGAGTTTTTAAATCTAAAGATACGAGGAAAGGGGTTTGCAATAGGGAAACCAATTCTTGAATGCATTTTAATGAAAAATATCTTCCCATTTTGTAGATGTTGATGCCCATATAGTAACCATTTCATTCCCATGACATCCATTTTTAACTGGCAACCCTGACACTTGAGAGTTCCAAATGTATCTGTGAGGCTTAAAAGGTTGCTTGAAATGAAATATGTATGTTACTGGACATATAAAGCTTCTGATATGATTTTGGAGATCCCTCAATAAAATACCAAGGGGTTTGGTTTCATCCACTCATTGATTCTATTTCTGACTACCTTAGATTATTTCTACTCCCCTGCCAAATGCAAAGTATAAATGGGCCAAGTTTCAGCAGGTGTTCTTTGTGGCTGTACTGGGAACTAAGGTTTACTGGGTTGATACTTATTATAAAGTTGAATCCATTAAATTGTATCAATTTACCAACTGGAATTTTCTTTGGGTCATGAACTTAGTCAGCATTTTGTGTTTATATAAAGATTGTTTCAGAAAGGATGTCAAGCCAGTGTGTTTGTTTACTTTAATTATCAGTTTCGTACACAGTATTGTCTATTGGTATAGTAATAGCTGGACTGGTCAGAATTGTGTTTCTAACCCTAGTTAGGTGTTCTAAACAGAAGACAGAATAATTTTGAGTGCTCTTTTCTCCCCTCTCTGCTCCAGATATTACCAGCTAATTAGACTAACCACCTGTCTCCCGTAGCATCCACTCATATTATGCACTCCAATAGAGTTGGCTTGCTTCAGGTCTCATTGATCAAGCCATGTCATCTAGTGGGATCCAAGATGTACACTTTCCCTGTTACCGCACCTGCCCTTTGGAACAACATCCCCACTGCCCCCTTGAGATTTGTATGGCCCCATATTGCAGTGTTCTTTAAAAAACCTGGTTTTTCCCTCAGGCCTTGAGTTAAGATGGGTGGATAGGCCCCTATGAGCTGTAAGGGATGCAAAAGGATTCTTTTGTTTCCTTGATTTGTCATTTTATGGATGTTGATCATTTTTATGGAATTATTGTTCTTTTAACTTTGTGAAGCCACCCAGAGTTGGAGTTGGACGGCCTAGAAATTTACAAATAAATAAATAAATTAAATTAAATCAGACTAATCAGTCAAATTTTATTGGCTATTAGCCATTATGTAGAATTATATTAATCCAATATGCCTTTTGAGAGTGAACATTATGAGGTATACATGACGCATTCCAATTTTAGTAGCTATTTTCTAATATACAAATGATATGCAAATTATTGCAGTGTTTTGAAATTAAGGATAAATTTGCAGGCTTTAGTTGTATTT